GTTTTCAACTATTTAGTTGGTCTAATAAAAGCTATCAGATTTACCCAAAAGCCTTGCCTGCCATGTGTATGTGTACATTTGGCCGCAGCAGGGGTGGGGAGCAGGGAGAAGTGGCGGGAACATGCCCCCCAGCCTGGCAGGGTCCATCCAGCCTCCCCTGCCAGCACTAGGAGGGGAAGGGGCCCCTCCCCACCAAAGCCCAGCTCTCATGGGGGGAGGAGGCCTCCAATTTTGTGCTTGCCCAGGGCCCCAGCACACCTTAATCCACCTCTGTGCTCGCCACCCCGCTGCCACTGATGCCTTCTTCGCATTAGGGGGCCCCAAATCTATGCCTTGCAGGGGGCCCCACAAATTGTGGGCTGGCCCTGTTCCCAAATGAATATATAAGTACTATATTGAACATCTATGGTGCCATTGTTTTATATGCATAACCATTAGTTCAGACCAAAGTAAAGTGAGAATGTCAGAAATTTAGAGGGGGGGACCCCAACAGGCCTGCACAGCAAATTTCTATGTATAATTATTATTAATCCTTTGGGTGAAGGTTAACATCCCCTGCCTGCTATTTATTATTTCACCTGCCCTTGACTTGTGTACCCAGTGCAGATTTTGAATTGGGCTGCGGAACCACGTCCTCAAAGGATGCTTCTCCATTTGAATAACTTACTTGTTCAAATATGCAGATAATTTTCCTGGAGCAGCTGCCACTCTCCAAAATTTTATCTTTAGACAGCACAAAGGCAGAGTCTTTTTCATCTCTTGAGTCAAGTTTGCAGATGCAAAATAACAGCTCCAGAGTGATTGCTTAGCTCACTCTTCCTGTGACATCTCTTTATTTTTATTACATAGAAATAAATACCTGATTTGGGTAACAAACTACTTCCATCCATTTCAAAGGGACAGCTAAGACTAACTTTACCAGGTCTGCCTCCCTTCCTCAATACCCTGCTTGTTTCACAGGAACATAGGACTGGAAAGGACCTCTTGGGTCAATGAGTCCATTTCCCTGTTGTCAAAAGTAATCATATTTAATCCCTCCATTTTACAACATTAGGGTTCTTGCTCCCAAGAGCCCATTGGAAGGCTATTCCAAAAATCAGACTTCTGTTATGATTAGAAACTATCATCTAATATCCTGGCTAAATTTATTTATGACCTGTTTATTCCCATTTGTTCTTGTGTCATCACCCTTTTTAGTTTAAATAGCCATTCTGCCTGGTGTTATACCCCTGATGTATTAGTTGAGTATCAGTGTGCCCTCTTAGACTTCATTTTGCTAGGCTAAACAAGCCAGGCTTTTGTAGTCCCTGTCATAAAGTAGGCTGCCCGCTTCTGTGATCATCCTAGCTACATTTGCATCTTCTTCAGCTTTAATTCATTACTTTGAGCATAGATGACCACAAATGTACACATTATTTGAGAGGAGGACTCACCGCTGCCTTGTATAATAGGATTTATGCTTTCCTAGTTCTAGTGAAAATACCTTACTTGATATATGGTAGGATCATATTTGCCTCTTTCATAGCTGTGTTACACTGGAGGCTCAAAATTACCCTGTAAGCAACAAGGACATCCATGGTCTCTTTCTACCTCAGTTGTTTCCAAATTATAAGTCCCCCAAATGATAAGTATATAGTAGAAACTTTTGTTAATTCCCCACAAGTAGGTGGCCTTGCACTTTATATCAATAATTTTCATCCCATTTCTATTGTGCCAATCCTCAAAATCATCTGCTTCTTCCCGTACAATATTCTGAGCCTCCTTTGCATTGATGATGGTTCTCAACTTTGTGTCATAAGCACATTGCATCATCACACTCTTATTTTTTGTGCCAAGGTTACCAATGTAAATATTAAATAAGACCAGACCTGGAGGCATTTCACTAATAAGCTTCTGGCAGCCCAGCAATTTCGGTTTTATCACAATCCATTGCCATCATTCCTTTGGCCACTACCTTTACCTAGCTCTCAATTCTTCTTCCAGTCTCCATCTTCTCCATCTTAAAAGTATTTCCTCTGTGGCAGAACGTCAAATGCTTTGTTAAAGTCTAGTTGGATTAGAGCTATTAATTTTGTCTAGAAAATCAGTTATCTCATCAAAAAAAGATATCAGGTTAGTGGGGAGGGGGGTGATCTACCTTTGAGAGAACCTGCTTTTCCAAATGTGTTTCTTCCAGTTCCATCCCTCCCCCAGCATTTGGTCTGTAACCTGTTAATTGGTTTGATAATACTGTTGGTTACAAATGTCCAACTCGGGATCCTTAAAAATTCTGGTTTATTAGGCAGATTGAAGCACTGTAATGAAGTTAAATCATAAACCTTGGGGCTGGTTCCCCCCCACACACACACACATGCACACACACAGTAGCAAGCTACAAGAGTCAGGTATACCTATCCCACAGGTGCTGGAGTCTGTCGTCGAGGCTTCTTTCAGCGTGGTGTTATCTTCCAGAAGGGGGTCACCGGCTGGTCCTTCTGGCTGGACAGGTCGGGTGCTGGTCAATTTGGAGATCAAGAGGGCGCCACTGAGGGTCACTTTTCACTGCTTTTTATCTGTCCTTGGCAGACTTTGGTGACTCCCCAGTTTTCAGGTTTGCCCAATCCAGGGGTCGTTGACCCTCGTGGGACTTCCCCCATCGGTGGCTACTGGATGGCATCTGTTAGCCCCAGGGGTCGTCTGCATGTACGTGCAGGTTTGGGAGTCTGTTGATGAATTTTGAATAGGGCTCTGGGAGCGGTTGATCTGGAGATATTCAGCCCAAAAGTTGGTCCCCGGCCTTGATTAACTCAGGCCAGGGCTTCTAGCCCTTGATCAGTGATGTTTAGAGATTTCCCGGTTGTTACATTGTCTTCTATTGAGTTCTTCCCTTGGTTGATCTGCAGTTTCCTTAGGTGTTAATTGCTGCCTGCTACCGTGTTACACATTCAATCACTTATTCACCCGCTCTTTCAGGGGCCAGCCTGATACAGGGAAGGGCAGTTTGATTCCTGCCCTTGTTAACATTGTTACAATGTATAACTTACTTATGAAACTAAACACATTTAGTTGAAAGTTGAAAGGTGAAGAGTATAAAATATAAGCTACAAAAGTAATGCCATGGCACACAAATAGATAAAAATACCAAAATACAAGGGGAGATACAAAATGCACACATACAAATTTCAAAACACAATTCCTTATCTTAAAGTGAAAGAAAAAGGAAGGAAGAAAAGGTAGAAGAGGAAAAACATATCCAAGGAGGGGAGAGCAACTGCAGGCAAGAGGAAAAGGGGCTTTCTGCTACAATACATAGTGGGAAAGTAGATCACATGTGGAGTAAGCACTGGGGATTTTTAGCAGCATGCTAGGCTAAGACATTATCCAGGCAAGAGTTGCAATTATTTCCACTTTACAGCAGTTGGAAATTCTCTAATCTCAAGAATAAGGGCATTACCAGAAAAGAAACAAAAACAGGGACAATCCTGAGCTATGTTCTCGAGTGCAGGGTGGGGGGTGTGGTCCAAAGATGGCTGATGAGGCTGATCTAGGATCGACAGACTCTGTTGCAACTTTAGCATTTGTTTCCGTGTCGGGCGGGTGGCCCTGGATTCTTCAGTCCGCAACACAGTGTTTCTTCCGCTCCCGTTTTCTTTCTTCTGAAGTCGTCATAAGGTTTCAAAGTACTGAGATCCTTGCAGCAGACTCTTCCTCCATTTGGAGTAATCCTGGGCAATAGTCTCCCATTAATTGATGTGGATGTTACATTTTTTTTCAAGTTGACCTTGAGGATGTCCTTGAAGTGCTTTTTCTATCCTCCTCTTGAGCATGTGCCTTGACTGAGCTGGGAGAATAAAATTTGCTTTAGGAGTCAGGAGTCAGACACCTAGATGATGTGGCTGGTCAAGCAAAGTTGATGTTGGATGATCATCACCTCGATGCTTGTGGTGTTTGCTTGTGAGAGGATACTCGCGGATGAGTCTGTCATCATCAGTGCAGATATGAATGTTTCCCGATTCAAAGTTTGGGGTTTTTGGTGTTGTCCCTCTGATGTAAAATCTGGCAGTGTTTATTTTTAAACTCCCCCAGAGGGGACATGCAGGGCTGCTGCCCCAGTTCCCTCCCCTCCTATCCCTGCCCCCATGAGTTATACTACTGTTTAGGTCTAAAGTTCTAGCTTGGGTCTGTTTCTAGAAATGTTAACAACAGGTTTGTTCAGACCAGCAGTCTCAGGATATGGAGGGACAGAAAGATGTCTCAGCATAGAAACTTGGCAGTGCAATCTGAAAGATATTTTTGTAAAATTCTAACATCATGCTCCTGAGCACATGTCACGCATTATAACAATTCACATCACAGTTAGGGTTGGAAGGGACCTCAGGAGGTCATCTAGTCCAATCCACTGCTCAAAGCAGGACCAGCCCTGACTATATCATCTCAGCCAAGGCTTTGTCTAGCTGGGTCTTAAAAACCTCCAAGGATGGAGAGTCTACAGCCTCTCTGGGTAGCCTGTTCCAGTCCTTTACTATCTGGATAGCTAGTCGCAAACATTAAATAGTTAGTCACAAACATTAAATATCTGTATAGCTGGTCACAAACATTGAATAATTTATCCTATCCTTTTTTTATGTGCAGCTGCCTTAGGAGTGGAACAAAGCAGCTGTTTAACCATATATAGCAATAGTGCACATCTATGTGGGAGGTAGAGATTGGGGGTAAACTGTTTCACAGGCCTGGCATAAAACCTTACAATGAGCTCTGGGAATAAGCTCCCTAAGGCCAGTGCCACTGCAGTGGTGTAGTACAGTTTAAGTATAGGGTTGTGGTAAAACTGCATTCAAAACAGCATGGTTCATATAAACAAATTGCACTAGTGGTAATGCCAGTGCCTTTTTAATGATCCAGTTTCCTAGAATAGCAGGAGGTGTGACTGCAGTTAGTCAAATCATCTGAATGCTATTTAACAGCAGTTTCTGACCCCCATCACTTCTCTCTCCTGCAGACAATACAGCAGAGATTACAAGATGCTGCTGCTCTTTTTGCTGTCTGTAACAGGTATGGCATTTTCCTTCTCTCAGATTTGAACTTCAGAGAAAGGACTGGGAACAAGCTCCCCTGAGGGCCTCTCTTTTTTCCAAAGCAGGTGGAGAATGTTCCAAAGTTTGATGGGTAGAAATCTTGGGATTTATTTGTCCCAAACCAAAAAACAGGCAAACCTGAAAGAGTTTTTAGAGGGTCAGTGTTACACGGAGCAGTTCCATTTCCAGGCATATATTCATCAGTAATTTTGGAGCGTGCCTGATCAAACACTGCTGTGCTTCTCTACCTCTCCCACCACAGCTGCAGACAAGCAACAGTAAAAATCCAGGAAAACAGAAGTTCAGCTGGAGGAGAGGAAATGAGAAAAGTGAGGTGAATTTTTAGATACTCATCACCTTCCTACATTACCTGTTTGAACCTTTGGATGCTTATCTTGCTGGGGTCCTTTGACTCTAGCTGACTTTGTGCCCCTGGGGCAGGGGACTAGACTTGATGATCTTCAAGGTCCCTTCCAGCCCTAACGTCTATGAATCGATGAATCTTCCCCAAATTCAGTGACCAAAAGCCAGAATGTTCTTGTCTGACAGCTGCTCAGCAGCCCAGGTGAAATTATTATTCTCTGTTCAGGTCCCAGTGGATAGATTTCCTTTTCAGAAATATCACCATTAGGATGGGAGGTCTTGTTGACCCTGAGACCAAAGGTTTGATGGGTCACAGACAGAACTGCCCTTTTATCGTAGACATGGTTCCTTCAGTTTAGAACTGATTCACATTAGCAGGACTGTGTGGGAAAACTTGCACTATTGCTGCAAGTGCTAGATTCATTCTTTGAAAGATTTCAAGCTCCAAAACTATCTGGTTACTTTCATTAGCAATACATTCACATAAACATTTCTGCTCTCCTAGTCCCTTCTCCAACATTTATTTGCTGCCTCATTTTATTACTGTATACTGATTTATCTTCAGGAGTCTTTTCCTTGCAAATGTCAACTTCACAAGATGTACACATCTTGGATCAGTCTGATTGGGAGGGGTGCGTGCATGTGTGAGAAATTTGTTACTTCCTTCAGTCGTTCATTTTGGCTTTGCCTATGCTTCCAGCACGTAAGACATAAATTATTAGTGAGAAAAAGAAAAAACATCCTACATGGGGAAAGAGGAGAAATAAAACAACCTGATTCATATTTTGATGAAGTAACATGCCGTGATGGGGAATCGACAAGAGCCACTTCCACGTAGCGATCCCTGGTAACGTCTCTGACGGCCAAGAGCTCCCGAAACGACAAAAACGCCAAAGCACACAAAGATAAAGATATGGACACCATTGCTGTCATACAAAAGAAGAATGCCTTGATACAGCTGTAGTGGGAGGAGGGAATAGTTACCAGTCATGATCCAGATTTTCAGTAGCGATAAGCATTTTACAGGCAGCAATTCAGAGTGCAACAAATTGTAAATGTGTTTGTGAGCCAATGTACAGATAATGCTTGTAACAGCTGTACAAATGTATTTGCCCTGAGGGCTCCCAATATATTTGTTTTTCATGCTGATAATGGGGCAGTGGTTAAAGAGACACTTGTAGCAATATATTTGTGTCATGACTGCACGGGACTCATTTATCATATCCCTTCCAGGCTCGTATGCTCTAGCAGGTTTTTGCTAGTTGAAATGGATGCAGCTATTGAACTAACCCTTTGACCCCATCAGCCACAGTATAAAAATATGCTTGAAAATGCATATCCTGACAATTCTGGTAACCAAGAAAGCCCGGAAAATAGTTGCTATACAGACTGATAGCCAGTGAAGCACATATTCTAACCGGCACAAAAAATCATTGATGAATGTATTCAAGTGATATAAAATTGTAAGTGTAATTTGGGGCAAAAAGTGGTGCAGCAACCATCAGAAAAGAAGCTTTTTCAGCATGTGTCATTTCTGACCTGAAGAAAGCATGTCTAGGATGAAAAGATAATTTAGTCTGGGGCGGGCAATTATTTCAGGTGGAGGGCTGCTTACTGAGTTTTGTCAAGCCATCAAGGGTCACATGACAGGCAGCCAGGGGCAGATAAATATTAATTTTCTAAATTTTTTAGGGGCTCTGCGGGCCAGATAGAATGGCCTTGTGGGCCGCATCCGGTCCACAGGCCACATTTTACTTACCCCTGATTTAGTCCAATGCCCACCAAATCCAAGGCAGCTAAACGTGGCAATAGGTAGTTTTGCAGTTGGGAAACCTGTCCACTAGGAAATGGAGAAAAACCAACAATTATTTTCACATGGGCTACTAAGCAGCCTCAGATGGTATGTTTAAGGGACAAGGAACTGCTGCAATGTATCAGAAATACAGAAAGATCCCTTCTGAGCAAGATCCTCCTATATCTGACAAAGGTCAGTGTCAGGTGCTTCAGTGGAAAGTGTAAAACTTCCACGATGGATTAAAGTGAGTAAACTGGCTCAGTAAACTGAATTCTGTTGTAATTGGCAGTCTCTCAATACAAGGATGACAGTCTCCCAGTAAATAGGGACATCATCTATGAGTCCGGAGATGACTTAAGAGGCTGATCCAAGATCTGCATGTTTGACTGCAGACATGGCAAACAGTTCCAGGAAGGAGGAGTGGATCCCATCCTGGTGATGTCAGTTATAGCTCTTTCCCTTCGTCTCTCTCGTCTGTCCAACTCCATAGCGATGAGCTGGTTTGCTTGAAGTAAGCACTGCCTTGTCATACATCATGGTGTCATTGGGGATGAGTCAGGGCTCACTGATTTCCATTCTTACTGATAAAATAATCTAAGCTTGTTTTGATGTAAATATTTGCTCATTACTTACATAAATGCAGGAAGGGCCAGGCCCTCCACAAAGTAAAGGTGTGAATTTGACAAGGGCCCGAGGCCCAGCTCCTCCACTGAAATCCATGGCAGTTAGATGGCTACATACCTGTGAGATCTGCGTTTAGCCTCAGCAACTTAGGAGCGCTCCTTCTAATGCCCTTCAGTAGGATACACACGTCTATCTTGTATCTTTGAAAGCCCCCCCCCCAGTTTATTCCTCTGCAGAAACTCCTAAAGAAATGCTGATAATGTAGCATACAGCGACAGTAGTTTTCATAATTAATTCTTTTTTTTCTGCTTCAGTTGCATTTCAGGTTGTTTCCAGCCAGCGTGTGTTTTTATTGGTCACAACTCCAATGAGCTGGGCCACAGCCAATGACTATTGCAAGAGTCACTATGAAGGACTAGCAGACATCTTAAGCCTGGAAGATCTGAATGCAGTGGTACTAACAGCTACTCAAACTGCTTGGATAGGCCTGCACTACAACAGAGTCATCAGGGGACTGAGCTGGTCCAATGGCGCCATTTACGAGAGCCCAAGTTGGATGCCAAACGTTGGCACCTTTCTGTTTGGGTCAGGAATATGTGGAACAATGCTTAGTCTTGTCATTTTGCCTTCTTCTTGCAATAAGCAGTTGCCCTTCATCTGTTCCTACTGTATGTATTGATTTACTTCCTGCTGCTGCATCAGGGGTCCCACCCAGAGATCAGAAACCTTATGGGGCTTGCAAATAGGGGGCTTGTGACCACCCTGTCCTTTCTGTCTTGCCAAGTGGAAGACACTCTCAGACCCAGGCACACAGGTTCACTCACACATGCTCTCAGTTGCACACACAGACACAATCAATCACTCCCAGTTACAGCAATAAAAGTCTCTGTCAAAAAATGGCCTATGGGTATTTTTAGTAGATGGACCACTTCAGGTTTTCCACAGTGGTACGTGAACTTTACAGTGTTTTAGAGGGCTGAAGTGTCAAAAAGTTGAGCTTATCTTAGCTTCTTTGACTCCCAAATGGACCTCTCATGAGAGCAGATTTTCCCCCCACAATTTATATCCATTTGTGCACTTGGCCAGTAAGGCAAGAGTGTGAAAAGAGGGTTTCTGATGGTTTCAAAGCAGTGCTGTTGGGTCCATAGCTACCAGCACAAGAGTATGAGCTTTTGTTTTGGTTTTTAAGGTGGAAGATAGGGGTCAAATTTGATTTTCTCGCAAGTCTATTAGATCATTTCTTGTTTCTAGGCAAGCAGTCTGACTACTCCTTCAGCCAGCTCTGCAAATCCTAACCTTAACACCTTTCTGCTACTGATTGCAGGACAGTTGAAAGAGCTCTGTGTATAACACAATGCAGTTATATAGCTTCCTTCTGCACAGCCTCCTTCTTGCTGCTCTAGTCCTTCAAAGACTGCCAAATTTGCATGCTCCCATATATCCATCTGAGATTAGTTTATGATCATTATGATCACCTTTCCTCCTTCCTGGAGTGACTTTGTACCTGAACTCAGTTCTCTATCAGTGAATAGTCAGTGCAATTTGCTTAGAGCAGGGCCGTCAAACTCATCTGGCCCCATGGGCTGGATCAAGGTCACTGAACTGGTCTGCAGGCCAGATCCAAGTTGACCCTCTGTGTTGTGTGCAGTGCCCGTGGTGCCATGTCCAACCTGCACACCAGGTGTAGCACATGGGGCTGGGGCCAAGGCCAGTGCATGCCAATGGGATGGATCGTATGGATGCATGGGCTTGATTCAGCCCATGGACTGTATGTTGGACACCCCTGGTTTATAGTATTTTGGTTGTCACTACTGGTCATTTGTCAGGCCCAAGGCAGTTTTTGGTTCTTTTTAACCATGATTGTAGAAAACTGTATGGTGACTCTCATTCTCCTCACAGATTTGTCAGGCACTGACACTCCCTCCATAGCTAACACAGGCTCCACTGCTACCACTCAGCTCCTGCCCTTCAGTGGAACAGCAAGTGCCCCAGCAGGAAGCTCTTCTGATGCAGGTAGGGACACATTAACCCTGCTTCTGTCATGTTTGTGCCATGATCTTTATTTCTTTCTGCACTGCATAAACTGAAACATGTTCTTCAATGGAGCTGGCATAGAAATGAATGTCCCCGTGGGGTGACAGAGGGTATGACTGCTGTGGCACCAACCCAGTACAGTCCTACAGACAAAAAACTCCTAACCAATCTTCTGGGCCAGTGACTAGTCTCCTAAGGCAAAGATTGGCAACCTATGGCCCATTGGCTGGATTTGGCCTGAAGGCACATTTGATTCAGCTCACAGATGTGTGGCTTTGGCTGTGGGCACTTCTTTCCATGCTACCATGGGGACAAGCAGTGGTCATGCCCACCTTTCCAACTCTGACCCAAACTGGGTTGCTTCAGCCCACCAGTGGCATAACTAGGGTGGGGTGAACTGGGTAGCTACCCTGGGCACCAAATTGGGAGGGAAGAGGGAGAGGGAGAAAAGTGTCTGCTACTGGCAGTTGTGCAAAAGCGTGATTCCAATTGCATGGCAACCAGAAGTCACTGCTGCCTCTGCCCCAGGCACCTGGCTCCATTCCTACGCTGTGACCTGCAGCCTAAAAAAGGTTGCTGACCATTGCCCTAAGGGCATAGATAGGTTTCCCATTAGGGTTTTCAAACGAGGTATCTACAGAGGACTGGCAAGGGTCTTCAGACACTAGTACCTACAGAGAACTGGCAGATTAATAATTAAGCAGCCTAAATGTCTTTCTATCTTTAACTGGTAGGAAGCTGCAGGTTAGTTTAACTACACAGATGTCAAGGCAGTGATCAGGAACAGAGGGAGTTACCCGTTTAAACTCCACGTTTCCCAGACTGGAATTTCACAAAAAAGCACAAGTGGGACTGTAGGAATCCCAACTTTGGCTCAACACTTCTTTGAAAATTAGGAAAGGAAAAGAAAAAAAACCCAAGTCTTTGCAGAGATCACAGAGGTTTTCCTTCTGTTTTGGAGACACATATATCCATTAATAGTGCAATCAATTAAAGCACTCCGGTGCTGGGTGCTCATTCACACCCTGTAGCACATTGATCTAGCATGGCAACCCTTTTTACAAGCTCTCCTCGTACTTCCAGCAAGTCTGTGTCACAGCTACATTAGTGTCCCCATTCAACAGCTGGCTAAGCTGAGGCACCAAGAGGTTAAATGGCTTGCCAGCCTCACGCAGCAGGTTCCAAAATGCCCGTCTTAGTTTTAACCTTATTTCCTCTTCTAATGAAGTGTAAAACAAAGCCAGTAGCACTTCTCATTTTTAATGAGCCTCTGCTGCAATACTATCTGTGCTGTACCTGCATTGTGGGAGGGCTTGAAGTCTCTTCCCAGCTCTTCTTTCAACAGTTCCCCAAACCATGTGCTTTCATCTTTTCACATTGTGTGGCTGAAAATGTGAGAAACAGCAGCTGACTTAGACCAAATGCCATTGTGTAGCCTTATCTTACCTGACCAAGTTACACATTGAAAGTTTGCGCACCCTGTGTGTGCAAGGTCTCTCCCACTCAACCCAGAAATACCCACCTTCCTTTCCATCGCCTCTTGTTGCTCGTATCATAACACTCATTTAGGGACTGGCAGTGACACACAAGGGGGCAGCAGCACTACAATTTGCACTGGCGCTGAACACAGCACTGGCATTCAAGTCACATCCGTTGGTTCTACACAGTCAGTGGGAAAATCAGAGATACTTGGCTCACAATCAGGTACCTATAATAGTTTTTCTTATCTCAATTGCCTTCCTTAAAGTGTGTTTGTTTCCATATTAAAGTAGAGCCCATTTGGAAGAAATGGGCTCTAGCCACTGGAGGTATTATGCATCTGAATGAACCCTGTATTAGGTTGCCTGTTTGTGATGTATTATAAATGTATTGCCCTGGACATGGTCAGTGGATTGTCAAGGAGAAAGATCAGCATTCATTTAGCACTTCAGTCCCTTCCTGTTCATTCGCTGTATTATTCTCTTACATAGATTTTGGCTACGTGGTTCTGAAAATGGATTTCGTATCAGCTGCCCTGGTAGACCTTGAGGCCATGAAACAACAGCTTCTGAATGAGGTGAGATGTAGTTCTCACTGAGAGCTCAGTCTGAAATACCAGTTTGCAAACCATTTTGGGTAGACATCAGCTTATAAACTGACCTACATCATGCACTGGAGGAGTGAGCTGGTGGGAGAGGGAAAGGGAATGAAAAACAGTCTATTCATCAGGAGCTGCAGCTCTTCTTTCTTTAGCCCCACTTCATTCAATGCAAAACATCCCCTTTCTATGCAACTAGGGCTGCTCTCCAGAACTTATTCTTCCAGCAAACTAGGGCTTAGTCAAGTGAGTGAAAAGGGTGATAGGGACTTTCCCATCCATTTCCATAAAGCCAACAAATTTAATTCTGTTAATATCTATTTCCCTTCTACCTCCCTTCACTTGTGCTGTCTAAGCACTGGGATTTTCCTCTCTGAAAAGGTCCCCCACCATCACCACTGGTGCCTCTCTGGGATCAATATGGCCAATGCCAGTAAGGATGTACAAGTCATTATTGAGACCCCAGTCTCTTCTAACTGCAGTGAAATTCTGGGATTCAGACAGTAGGCCTCCTTCCCTTTTCCCACCAAGCTACTCTACTAAGGCACATGGCTAGCTCTTAGATGGGATTTCTTTCAAGTAGTGGGAAGACAGAAAATTCAAGCTCTTGGCACATGCTCATGTGATGGGATATGATCTCTGATCCCTGATCCCAATAATCATGCCCCTTGCCATGCCACATGCACATGGTACAATTGTTGGAGTCAAGGATCAGGTCCCAATCCTGCTATTAATACATACCAGTGCAGGGAGAACCTGGGATTATGATGCTAGGCTCCCCTTCCACTGGCAAATTGAAAGAAAGGTGTGCCTGTAGGTCCAGGCTGGGCTGACACTCAGTGCCGCCCTTGGGACCACACTGAGAACTTCAACTGGCTCTGGTGGCCTGGGACCAGGGCTGACAATCAGTTGACTGTTGGCCCCTGGCCCTGTCCCACACTGGGACTAGTTTGAGTTCCCACTGTGGCAAGCTAACAATCTGTTGATTGTTGGCCCCAGCCCAGAGAGCCTTGGGTCCAATTTGAGACCAGGGCTGGTTGCGCTGGGCTGACAATGAGCATACCCGACAGCTCTGGTCAGGGGATCAGGTTGTTGACAGTGGGAAGAGGAGGGGAAGCAGAAGGCCTCCCCCACTGGACACTTTAAACTCTGCCAGGAGCCTCTGATCCCCTGTGCCTGGCACCTGACCCAGAGCTGCTAGGCATGGGTTTTAAAGTCCCCAGCAAGGAAGCCACCCCAGCCCACTCTTTAAAGCTGTCCAGGTGATGGGAGCCAGAGACTAGAGAGCCTCTCTCTGCTGTCTGCAGGCTTCCTCTTCAAAGCTCCCCATGTGCTGGGACCCAGGGCACAAGGAACAGGCAGCAGAGGGGTTGCGAGTTCCTAGCTGCCCATGCGCTATACTGTGACGCGGCACTTGCAGCTCTGGAATGGAGCACCCAGCTCCCCAGCTGTCGCTTCCATGGCTGCCCTGGGAACTTGGAAAAGCAGGTATGTAGCTGGTCCAGGGCTTGGTGAACCCAAGATCAGGGAGATGCTCCCTGATGTCAAGCTCAGGCCCCCCCAGCCCCACCCCTGGGGATAGGCAAGGGTGCTTGGTCCAGGACATGGTGCTTCTCCCAGCCTGATCCCACTGATTGGGTAGGGATGGCTGTGTCCCAGACCCTGGGGCTTCCCCATACCAGTTCCCTATGCTCAGCTGAAGATGATCATCCCCTGTTATGGATCATCCCCAACATGACACACACTAAACTGAAGGCAGGATACAAACAAGGCTTAAAGATGCTACACATTATATGTAGAATAACTTTGTGGCTCATCTGCTATATTATCATGGCATAAATTGGCTTCAGCTTTCACACAGGTTACTATTTATGGCATGATTAACACCTTAATAGTGTCCTGAATGTAATGTGTGCCAGGGCCCCTAAGTTTTGTGGTCTCAAACTGCATCAGGATACTTAGTTTCCCATGAATCTTACTAGAGACAGTGAAGGAGGGTCCCTTGCTGTGGGGACATGGAAGCAAACCTAAGTAACAAAATCTTTGCCTGCAACCAGGATATTCAATCTACAGCTTTGCAGTGAAAAGCAGTAATTCAATACACTTTCTAAGCACACATGGACATTTAATCTAGGGAGCTGGGAGGAGAGGTGAAGGACAGGAATGTAAGATGCGCTCTAGCAATAGCGAGGATTTTATTTGAGAATATCAGTTAAATGTAAGCAAACCAGTATCCCACTCACTAATGGATGTAGAGAGCTGCTGCTCTTGGGTTAAAAGCAGAAGAACACACTCTGTTATCAGTATAGCCATTAGCCACCAACCTTTTTTTCCTAACTTCTTCAGGTAGAAGAACTACTGATGGGGAGTTTCTCCAAAGGGACATTCCAGTTGCAGTGGGTGAGCTATGAGCAATGACAAGACCAGACTACAAGCCCCAGCACTGATTCAGATTTATTTTTATCCAGATGTCACCTGGGAATCTCAGAAGGAGTAGAAGAAACATATACTAATAAAGCATTTTGGAGAGAGGAACCAGAAGGCCTATAGGGAGACCACTGATATATAAGAGAGGTTAACATGCGTGTCAGGGGGACAATGCTGTAGAACAGGGGTGCTCAACCTCCAGCCTGTGGGCCAGATTGGAGCTGCCAGCTGGCCTGCAAGGCTCCCCACAAATCTCTAAGTTTGGTGGCAGAGGAACGATGATGACTCTGCTCCCCTGCTGCTAAATCTCCCAACACAGGCCCTGCAGGCTGTATCTGGTGCCATATCCCAGCGTACAGGATCAGGGTGGGGTGGGAGCGGTGCTGGGCCCCAAGGCCCAGTCTTGGTGTGGGAGGCTGGTGGGGAGCAGCACTGGCCTCTGGCAGCTAAGTCTGGTGCGCAGGGGGCAGGATAGGGAGGTGCTGGGACCTGCACTATTCATCTGGCCTGAGGGGCCAAAAGGTTGAGCACCCCTGATCAGGCAGTAAGAAGAGGGTAGGGACAGTCTTCTGCTCAGCTACACTCCACATCTTCCCTTTGCAGCCTCTTGTCACCTGCCCCTTCCCTTCCCTGTCCAGTTAGCATATTCGTAGATTTCATAGACATTAGGGCTGGAAGGTACCTCAGAAGATCATCGAGTCCAGCCCCCCCAGTCAGCTGGGGTCACAGGATCCCAGCAAGATAAGCATCCAATTTACTCTTGAAGGTGTTCAATGTATGTGCTTGAACCACCTCCGGTGGCAGGCTATTCCAGACCTCGGGGGCTTGGACAGTAAAGAAATTCTTCCTTATGTCCAGCCTGAAACAGTCTTGCAGTAGTTTATAACCATTCGACCTAGTCGTCATCCCTTGGGGCGCTCTGGTGAACAATCGTTCCCCCAGATCCTGGTGAACACCCCTGATAAACTTATAGGTGGCCACCAGATCGCCCCCGAGCCTGTGCTTTTCCAGGCTAAAGAGTCCCATAGCTCTCAGCCTGTCATTGTAAGGTCTGTTTTCCTAACCTCTGATCATGCGCATGGCTCTTCTCTGGACTCTCTCAAGCTTCTCCACATCCTTTTTGAATTGAGGAGCCCAAAACAGAGCAGTACTCCAGCTGCGGCCTCACCAAGGCTGAGTACAAGGGGAGAATGACGTCCTGGGATTTACTTGAGAAGCATCTATGGATGCAAGCCAGCATTTTGCTTGCTTTACTAGCTGCAGCATCACATTGAAGGCTCATGTTCATTCATTTCCTTACATTCTCCTTCACCCCTACACTCCACTACATATAAAAAAATAATGGAATGTGCTGTTTGCTGTCATCTTATAGTTCATCCTATGTTATAGCCATTCCCACAACCTATGTCTGTTTTATGTATTCAGATTATAAACTCTCTGGCGCAGGCTTATTTATTACTCAGTTTAACATGGGCCCCCAATTTCAGCTAGTGCTAGGCACTACAGTAACAAACAGGATTGCTACTAAGTACAGGACTGTTGTATGTAGCTGCTGAGAACAGAGGATGGGAGCGATTACTGAGTCTAGTCCCTTTTAACTGCAAGAACAATATTATATGATCCCTTTCATAAATTTACTGAGCACCACTTTAAACAGTCTGTTTCTTTGCCCGTGTTGGAAGTCTGTTCCAGAATCTGATTCCTCTGAAGGTTAGGGATCTTCCATTAGTCTCCAGGCTGAATTTATTCACAGCCAGTTTAACCCCTTTTGTTCATATGTCAACAATGTCTGTAAGCTAAATAGTTCATTTTCTTCCCTGATGTTTACCCCTTTAATATATTCATAGATATCAGTCTTATCCACTCTGAGCCTTCACTTTTTCTAGGCTAAGGCCAAGCTCTTCTACTATCTTCTTACAAAAAAAACTACTAGGGTGATCAGGGGAACATAGACCATTTTCTCTGTAGCTTTTCCTGTTTGAATTCATATTTCTTAATCATGGATGACCAGAATTGCACACAGTATTCCAGATAATGTCTCACCCTGCTCTTTCACAATGGCACTAATACTTCCATACCTCTACTGGAAATCTATCTTCTGATATGTTCTAGGATTTTGCCTTTTGCATAGCCACATCTCGTTGGTGCTGCATAGTCATTCTGTGATTGTTGGGTCTTTTCATCTCAGTTGTTTCTGAATTGTGAGTTCCACGTTTATAGCAAAAGTCTCCTATTAGTCCTCGCATGTACAACTTTGTGTTTTCTTCTATTTAATTTCACACATTTCTCTTACTCCACTCCACTTCTTCCTGTATGACACCCCAATAAGCCTCTTCAATTTTGATAATGCCTCCTGAATTGGAGTTATCAGCAGATTGCATCAGCACACTGCTACTTTTTGTGCCAAGATCATTAATAAGTCTATCAGGATTGGACCAAAGATTGACCCTTGAGGAGCTCACTAGTAACCTCCTTCCAGCCTAATGCTTCTACTTGGAATATAGCCCTTCACCTTCTCCCTTATCCAGCTGTGTACCAACACCTTAACATTCCCATAACCAATTCCATCTTCTGCAGCTTCATTAAATTTCCCAGGTGGCACCATATTAAATCCTTTACTGAAACAGAGAGATGAGACCTGCTATATTCCCTTCCACTAGGGAATCAGTTTTCAAAGGATGCTATCAGGTTAGTTTGATAATCTATTTTTAGTAAAACCTTCTTGCCTGTTGTCCCACATTCTCTTCACTGTCTTGCTTTCTAATTATCACTGCTTTCAAAACCTGGTCTAAAAACCCTGTATCTAGCAAGTTCAGGAAGATGCAAGGAAGACTTGTGGAGGACATGGACACACAATTCTCAATACAAATTTACCATTTTTAAACAAAGAAATCTTGGGTCAAGTACTGGCGAATCATCAAATTAAAAAAAAAATATTTGTGTTGTTCCAATACCCACAAATCCCATTGTTTTGGGTACTATGCAGTCATATTACAAGAGAGCTTACAGACTAAATAAGGCTAAGGCACACCTGATGTGTAGAACAATACAGGGTTCAGGTGGTGAGAGGAAAGAGAAAAAGTAAAGTTGCATCGAGTAGTTGCCTGTGGATTATGCAGGCTCCAAGGCCTCTAAAGCCTGCATCTAAAATGTCAATTTAAAGCTTACACGCCAATGGAAATAAAACAAATTCAAAGAGAGGAAGATTGTACTGTGTAGTTTTTGTTCATTCTCTTAATTCATGTATATGTGGAATGATAAATAAAGCATCACCAATGGCCAAATATTTTGTTAGCCTATGAAGGAACATTTCTTTGGGGTGACTGCACCTTGCAAATTGCTTTGTGTTTGTGCATTAGAACTTCACAACTACAAACCAACTATACAAGGAAAACTAAGCAGACTATTTTCATGGTTCAAGGTGCAAGAAATGCACAAATGAATGCAAAGTAAACAGAATCTCTAACATCTGATTCTCATGACCTATAATGCTATTAGTAATATAAGAAAGGGAATCCATTTTTTAAAAGATACAATTTCAGACTGAGTGTCCTTTTAACTCTGAGAAAGGAAAATGATTAAAAAGCTTGTGGTAGTAGATAGCACTTCTCCATGTGACCACAGAGTGTCACCCTTTCTCTCCACATTGCTTAGCTGGGCAATTCCTCATGGGTGAGAAGATTTAGAAGCCAGGAGAGGTTACTAGACAGGGAAGAGCTGAGGAAGTGGAATAAGCTTTGAATGGAGGCCACACAGAGCACCAAAATCCCAAACCAGGAGCAGTGAGTGGCGTTTTAGTGCCACATCTCTCTAACGGTGAGCAGCGGATAGATGCAAGTGACACAGTTTGGGATTTGCTCACTCAGCTGTAGCTTTGAAGTCCAATTTTTGATCGGAGTCATTTTTTTCTGCCACAGGCTACCTTAGTCCCTGCCACGTCTCATAAAAGCAGCAGTTCACATGGGTAGCGCAAGAAGTCACACTACAAACCATGCCAGATGTCAGGTTATACTGTGCAAGTTTGCACATTTCCTTCCACCGCTCAGGTTTCAGAACTCACGTATAATCTTCCAGCAGTAAGATATTAAATCAGTGCCACGTGCATGAACTCCAAGCTTTTTAAAGTTAAAGTTTATTTGTATTCTTTGTAGGAATATCAATAAAAGACCTCAAATGTATCTATATCTGTACATATACAAGAACCTTCAAAAATTATTCACAGAACAAAAATAAATCTTCTTTAAAACGAACCCAGGCAATGAAATGCAGAGATGGATCTCAGAGACCAAACAGTCCAGTGCTACTAGCATAAAAATATGGTTTTGAAAAAACAATTTTATTACTTTTTAAGGTGTATTTTGTTGAAATAAAAAATAAATTATTTAGAGCTATCATTGTAAAATAGTCCTGTGTAGTAACACTCTCATTAAGGCCCTTGAGACAGAAAAATCTATTTTTACAGGTAGGATTCCTGGCAGGAGTGATTTGTAATGACATGCTCTCTCTCATGGGAATTAATTTAATGTAGGGAAGGAAAGGTCTAAATGCATCGGCTTAATTTTAACCCTTTAAGTCTGTTAAACACTCAGGTGGATAGCGGTGACTGGCCAGATTATATCCTACTTGGTTAATGATAATCAGTAATATAAATATACATGTATCGGTTGGACAAAGACATGAATTGTTCCCCAGGAGCGATGCAGACATCTTTCCATAACACTAATATAGGATTCACACATACATGGCATTGGTGACGCTACCAGATGAATACCACTAACATACACCACTGTTAAATCACTGCACAACCAATGAGATTCCAGAAAAAGTGAAAAGCCGGTGGTTTAAGCAAGCAACAGAATGTGAAAATAAATACATCATTTATGGGATGGCTGGATGCCCGAATACAGAGCACGTCTAAACTCTGGGCACTATATTCAGGGGCTAGGAAATATGCACAGCTCTCTCAGCGCTACTCTGGATTCTCTATGAAGAGAGAAAGCATTTCTAAGAGGAGTGCCGTGAAACACGCAGCTCTATGCAGCTGTGTGCGTTTACATACATGTACACACACACATCTATGGCTACCCATTTCTATACACTGAAGAGAAAACTGTAGCTGCTTACTGAATTTAGCTTCTACCCCTTTTCCTTCTTTAGGACCCAAACTCCTCAGGTTGCAAAAGGGTATATACATGGGACCAGATTTACGCCATGTGCACCTCCTCCGCTCCCGAGGTATTTACTGCACACCTCTTGCTAGTGAAATTACTTCTGTCCTCCTCAAACTCTTCATAAAACATTCTGAATTTGGCAGCAGGCCAGGGTGCAACCGAACAACATGGGGCTTCACTCCAACACCACAGAGCTGAAAACTTTTATTTAAAATTCAGAAACCCAACCAGCCAGCATAGGAAAGTCCCTTTCAACTAATCTGCCTTTTTAGAGGGATCATCATAAAGCAGCAGTCACGGGCATGGCCAGAGAGTGGCAAGTCCCCAAGGCTGTGGCTAGCCCCTTCATACAGTGATACATACAGTTCTTCCATTGTGTCTCTGGCTAGGGCAGAGAGCGAAACAGCAGCCCAATTGCAAAGGCAGTGGCTGGCCACAATGATGTAGGTGATTTGCCTGAGGCCTTATTTGTAATTGTGGTAAATTTTAGCAAAGAACATTGCGAATCCTCCTCTCACCGATTACAGCCCAGATGAAGAAAAGGGAATTAGACATTGTGACGAGACAGGTATTTGACATCTACAGGTTTGGGTAGAGACTTGAAGAATTAGATTGCAGGCACCATGCCTAGAAATTAAAGGACTGTTCAATAAGAAATGAATGGCTCCAGGGTAAGAGTGACTTAGAAAACAAATCCTTCCTTTCCTTTTCCCTTTGCAGTCCTGCCTTGACATCTCCCAACACAGGCACAGCCAGAGAAGTAGCACAAAGCTGGGCATAAAAAGAGATGGCTATTAGAGACCTCTAAATCCTTCCTGCATTATCTCAGCTGTCCTCAAATTGAGGTGGTCAGCTTCCTGCGGTGGCATTTTGCACAAGCTGCTGAGTTTAGGCAATTGCATATGTACTAACCAAACCCCTAGCAGGTTATGAAGTTCATCAGATTTTGTTTTACTTCTCCTCTCATTCCTGCAGAAATTTATTTGCTGTTACTCTGAAAACTGAAGCCTGGCTAGGCCCAGGTATTTTGTTGTCTCAGTAATGATAAAATGGCTCCTGAGGTTTTGCTTGCTACCATCAAACTGTACAAAATAGAAGCTTGTGATTTTACATGCCACAGGCTTCACAGAGAGATGATAAAAATCTCTAGACATCTGCTGTGTAACAAACTGGGAGCGATGCCTGCCCACAGAACATGGGAGCCTAATGCTGTGCTTCATCGTTTCTCAGCTTTGACCTAACACTATTGTGAAACTGTGACTTTTGCCCCCTTGCAGGTAGAAAGACATTTTCTGCTGTATGTAGGGAGAGACCAGCATTTTGTATCTCGGAGCAGGGAGATTAAAACCAGCACGGTGACAAGCTGCGATGGTGATGCTTCAGGTCTGACCCTTAAATATCTGCCTTATCCAGGCTGACAGCTTAAGCATGTACAGGAGGATATGCATTTATCCATCTATGTTATTCAAGACATTTGCAATCGTAAAGCAATCACCTTACAGCAGCTAGGATTTCCCCTTTAGAAAGCAGGACTTGCTTTATTTAAAAGCAACCCTAGGAAATGCACTAAAAGTAACTGTTCCTATTACATTTCTCTGCAGAAGCCAAAGTGGATTCCCAAAGACCTTCAGTGTCTAACCACACAGCTCAGCCAGTGACCTTTAGTGGATTATCACAAAGCTACAGTGAGCTCTGGGCAGATGCCTTTCTCTAAGCAGCATTAGTCTAACTCTGCTAGAATATTTTGGTAGAAGCCTGTATTTCCATATGCATTTCTTCTTCCTTGTATTTCTTGTAATGCACAGAAAGTAATCCCTAGGTAGTGTGTTCAACAGCTAATTTAGGAGAAACCTCAGAGTAACAGATCATCTACTTCCCATGTTTTACATAACATATGATTAAAATGCACACCCATCTACAGAGCTGCTTTTGGGAAAGACTTTGCATAGCACAGCTGGGTGAATATAATCTGAGGTAATTATTGTTAGCTTCATTGAAAGTGAGTGCAGCCACATAATAAAGGGGTAGGCATGAAAGCTGCCCGCAGCCACACAGAAATGCTAAGATAAAAGGGGTTTTAATGGACAGTGGCATTTTATAAAAATGAGAAGTACTCATACTAGACAAATTGATCCACAACTGATACTGCGCCTATAGTCTTGGTACATGTGGAAGAAGAGGGAAAGAAGAAGGGATTGAAAGGCACAGTTAGTTAACCAAAGGAGAAGGTATTAGGGGCCAAAATGACCCAGAGTCGGAAGACTTCATTAGGAAAGTGTTTTTTGTTTTTTTAATTTCTACTGAGTATTTTCAGTATGTGGCCCCAGAAGTGCATAAACCTTCAAAAATGTTGCTGTGCCACTTCAAGAAAGCTAGGCGGACCCTCTCCTTGCTCCTTAACCCTTGGTACAAATCATGTTTGAGAAACAGGAGAAAGCAGCTTTGATCCAAAAGGACATTAAAACCTTGAGAACAAATTCCTATTTACTTCAGGTGAGGTTTCTATCTCTCAATAGAAGTAATAGAATAGGAGATGTGGTCTCTTTCTGTATTTGTGCATAGTTGGTTACATACATACATATATAGGTGTGTGTATATATGTTTAATGGAATTATCTTAACTCACAATAAACAAGGTAACAGTTAAAATATTGCGCTCCACAACAAACTGGCCTAAAAGGCTAGACAAATTCATTTCAAAACAGCAAACAGACTTGAACAACAGACACTCAATTTGGTTCATTCATATTGCCAAACCCTGACATTCAAAAAGGCATGACCCAAAGGTCATGAGATTAACTCAAAAATCCCCAGATATTTAAAATGATACATTTTTGCACACACAGGACCTGCCTGCGGTGCTGCAGACTGCATGTGCCACACATGCAGGTGTTCAGTGTGCTGCTAATCTGCAGCACAGCAGGTTTTTTGACACCAGGAGATCCTGCTGTCAAAAGGTGGTGCACATGGCAGCAGCCAGAGCCATGCTTTGGCTGCCATCCAGGCTCTGCATGCCTGGATCGCTGCTGCTGGAGCCCTGGGAGGGCCCCAGGAAAAGGTGCTGGGGCCAGCCCAGGTGCTGACACCACCCTTTCCTGCCCCACCCAGGACAACTTGCCGCACATCAGAATGTGCATGTTGGCACGTTCCCTGGGGACAACTAGCAGCGGAACAAATATGTGCCGCTGCTAGTTGTCCCCAGGGACGCACATTCCT